CGATTGAAAATCGCAAGATTCTTATATGTGTAGAGCACGTAATTGAAAAACGAGCCCAATTTTGGCCAATGACCAATCGACCAATAGTGAGAGATTGGCAAGGATGTGATTTTATGCTTACGGCTTGGACTCTGTGCGATGTATATTTAAACTCTATCCACAAAGAAGCAATTTAAGCGAAACAATTAAATCGTATATGTAAAAAATAAGTAAGAACATTATAGTCGGGCAAAGCCTAGCATTAAATACCCTACACCCCTACATTGTCTAACACAATTCTTATTTTTGCCTGAAATTACTATTATGGGTTAATTTTCATCACCACATATTAAATCTTGGACGATTTTGCTCCACAAAGAGTCAATTCTTTATTAGGATAGAATCTACAAAATAGGCCAAGATGGTCTAAATTTGGTAGAGTTGATTTTTTTATGTTAAATTACTTTTATGATATAATTTTCACCATGAAGTATTTCAAATTATATCTTTTTGTCGTATGAACTTGAGTTTTCATTATATGACAGGGGGTTCAAAAATTGACCAGCGGGTCCCAAGTTTACGTAGCAATTTAGAAAGCAGAAATACTACTGCTTAGCCACTTTTGCCGAAAAGTTGAGGAAGTTGCAATTTTTACCCATATAACAACTTTTCAGAATAGGACGCTGCCGTATGGAGAGTGATCAAAAAAGTGGACCGTTAGTGGACGCCCTTGCGTCAAAACATGTCACTGTACCAAATTTCATCAAAACATCTCAAAAATTGCAACCTGCAACTTGGACACAAATGTACATGGACAGACATTAGACGGACAGACAGACTTAGATCAATTTAGATTATGATTCTGAATAAATCGGTATAGTAAATCGTCGATCTTTTTTAAACCGTTGTGCGTGTTACCTATGGCTATACTAAGTTAATATATCCTGTAGCACAAATGATGTCGGGTATAAAAAACAGAGAAAACTGATTGTACGAACGAAAGTTCACAAAATGCCAATATGAATCTTGGAATTTCTTAATCTTGTTTTTGTAATTTAATTGTTTTGAAACATTTCAACATTTTGCTTAGTTAAGGCTTAATTTTCCTTAACAATGAATTTCCCATTGTTTGCTAAAACATGTGTAACATGTAAACTGATGGTCGGATTTTGAAACATTTCGCTTGGAGGTTAAGACTATCTAAATAAAAATTGTATGGATATTGGGTAGCAAACTTATTGAGTGATTATTGCTTTCTTGCGTTTTTTCGAACTCGTCAAGTTTCAATTTTTTTTTCTTTCAGTCTTTCAAAATGATTGCGAATGGTTTTCTGGACATGTTCATGCTAAACTAAAGCAACTGTGACCTGTGTGTAAATCAGCATACATGACATATTTCCTATGAAGATTGGTGCCATCTAAAAATCATATTTATTCGCCACTATGGTGACATGGACATGTGATCCTACGAACTTACTGAGTGATGTATTAGCTTGTTAAGAAAGTTTTAAATCTGATATGGTATGCACAGTTCCTTGACGGATCTCTGTTCCAAATTTTGTTCTCGATTGCTCCCTTCCTGCCCCAGATAGCAGATTCCTTTCTACTTGTGAGACTGTGAGACATATCATGCTATAGTACGATATGTTGGTTAAATATAAATTTACAAATACTTTTTTTTAGTGTTAATTGTTAAGTTAAAATAAAATAAAAGCTAAACGTTTTTTAAATGAGCAAAAAACTTAATTTCAAAGTTCAAATGAGCCTTAAAAACTTACAATTTTTGGTGAACTGTTTTCAGTATTTGCATGAATTCGATGTTGGCAATCAAGGTATCAAGCGGTAATCAATCGGCCACGCGACCACAAAAAACCAAGTTATTGAAAATTAGACGAAGAACGCTTTTAATGAAAAATCATTATATATATATATATATATATATATATTACTTCGGTTGTATGTTTTCTTATATTACTTTTGCCTAATCCGCAGGCTAATGTGTATTTTTGCGTTCAAAAACAAAACACTTTTTGCCTCCACTAACTTAAATGTTTTGCTTACCTAAAATTCCCGCTTTTACATACAATTGCCTGAAT